GCGAAGGTTGGGGGAGGAACGGCAGGGTTCAAAGGAGAAATCATCCCTCTTGAAAGCCTGGCAATTCGCATGCTTTGTTGCGACCTTAGAACTGCAGTCGTTTGGCAAGTTTGTGTTGGAACGAACCACTTGCTGCTGTCTCAGGAATCGCAAATTGTTGGTTCTCGGTGGCCAGTTTTCGTGATACCCGCGTGTAATACTTAGCGATCACAGGGCCAGGCAGTCGGGAATCCCACTCGAGGTTCTCACACCAATTCCAGAGGACTTGATATTTTTTGGAAGATCATTTGGGTTTGTCATTTGTCGGGACAGAAGGAACACCACCCACGTTGGGGGTCCCAGGAAGAAACAAAAACGCAAAACAAACAATCAGACAGATTGACAGACAGGCAGGCAGGCAGGCAGACCGACAGAGACAGACAGGTAGAGAGAGAGAGGCAGAGAGACAGACAATCAAACAGACAAAGAAACAGAAACAAAGAAGCAAAGAAAACACACACACACACAAACACGCTCACACGCAAAATCACACAAACACACACGCACACACACACACACACATACACACAAACACAAACACACAAACACACAAACACATATACACATGCATAAACAACACACACACACAAAACAAACAAGCACGCAAACAAACACGAACAAACACACAAACAACACACGCACACACACACACAAACAGAAAACAAACAAGCACGCAAACACAAACAAACACACAAACAGACACACAAACAACCACACAAACAAACACCCAAACAAGAACAACTTAACACGCAAGCAAACACAGAAACAAACACAGAAGCTCACAAAGAAGCAGTCGAAGAAACAACAAGAAACAAGCGCAAGACCACACAAGGAACCACACAAACAACCCACCAAACAAACAAGCAAAGAAGGAGAGGCAGAAAGACAGAAGGAAGGAAGGAAAGAAAGAAAGAAAGAAAGAAAGAAGAAAGAAAGAAAGAAAGAAAGAAAGAAAGAAAGAAAGAAAGAAAGAAAAAGAGAAATACAGAAAGAAAGAAAGAAGAAGGAAAGACATAAAGAACGAAATAAACAAAGAAAGAAAGAAAAGAAAGAAGCAAAGAAAGAAAGAAAGAAAGAAAGAAAGAAAGAAAGAAAGAAAGAAAGAAAGAAAGAAAGAAAGAAAGAAAGAAAGGAAGAAAGAAAGAAAGAAAGAAAGAAAGAAAAGAAAGAAATAAAGAAAATAAAGAAAGAAGGAAAGAAAGAAAGAAAGAAAGGAAAAAAAAGAAAGAAAGAAAGAAAGAAAGGAAGGAAGGAAGGAATGAAAGAAAGAAAGAAAGAAAGAAAGAAAGAAAGAACGAAATAAAGAACGAACGGAATAAACAAAGACATTATTAAAGAAAGAAAGAAAGAAGTAAAGAAAGAAACAAAATAAATATATAGAAACGAAATAAAGAAAATAAAGAAAGAAGGAAAGAAAGAAAGAAAGAAAGAAAGAAAGAAAAAACAAGAAAGAAAGAAAGGAAGGAAGGAAGGAAAGAAATAAATAAAGAAAGAAAGAAAGAAAGAAAGAAAGAACGAAATAAAGAACGAACGGAATAAACAAAGACATTATTAAAGAAAGAAAGAAAGAAGTAAAGAAAGAAACAAAATAAATATATAGAAACGAAATAAAGAAACAAAGAACGAAATAAGCTATAAATCAATAACTAAAGACAAAGAAAGAAAGAAAGAAGAAGGAAATAAATACAGAACATAAGAAGCAAAGAAATTAATCAATAAGTTAATACAGAATGAAATAAAGAAATCAATAAAGAAAGAAAGAAAGAAAGAAAAAAAGAAAATAAACACATTCCCACAAACAAACAAATACAGGAACACACACACGCACGCAAGCACACACCCACACACACACACACGCATACACGTCAGCATCTTTGTTTCGACTCTGGGCCCCTGAAAGGAGAAAGTGCTGCGGGCGCTGGCACAGTGTGGGAAGCCCTTCGCCATGCTGCTCCCCATCTCTGTGCTCCATGTAGGCGATCGACCTTTTGGTCTGTCCCGTGGTTCCATGTTTAGGTCCCCAGAGGTTGAACCTCTCATTTCTGGGGCAACTGAGTTTCTGGTGCTAGGGCTAAAGTGGCAGAAGCCACCGGTGAATTGATCTGAGTGGTGACATCCTGTGACCTGACGGTGCAGAAGCCTTCTTGGACGAAGGACAGAACACGAAGCTGAGTTCTGGTTTGATGTTTGGGATCTCGATGTATCGGAGTTGGGGCCCGAAGTGGATTGAATCGTTGGAACACATTGCAACATGGCTTGCTAGTTCGGAATGCCTGGGGGGGCGCTGTTGGAAGCAAAGACCTGTCCTGAGTTGATTTTGATTGCACAGCGCCAAGGCAGGTAGTTGAGGCAACGTAGAATGCTTCGGTTGGTTTAGGGTTCGATTAAGGTTGGTCCGGGCTGGATTTTGAAAGCGTGTTCCCTCCAGTGTTTTTTTTTCCAACTTCAGTATGTATCTCGCGATTTCAGATGTTGCGTCGCGACCGTGCACATGAAGCCGCTGTTTTTGCGTGGTCGAACGTCTTCCGTACCATGCTCAACATCTGGTTGCTGCTTGTTTTCTATTATTCTAAGTCTCAGGCGTAGGCTGCTCCCACACCACACAAGCGGAATACCATCGCATGCATATGGTGATTGTTTTCTTGGTGCGGATGTTGTATCATTGCGCTGGGCTCTGTTTGGATCTGGAAATTGGTGATGAAAAGCGGTTTGCGTCTTCCAGTCTCATGCTGTCGCTTGGATCAGCCGTGCAGAAGCAAGCTAAGAAGGTCGGGGTACCCGTATCCATCCGGCTTCAAACCTGCGGCCCCAGGGTTTGTGAGGGAGATCTTGGATATGCAACGAGTGCAGGCGGGGAGTGGCGGCCATGTTGCGGTGTTCTGTGCGTAAGAAAAACGGGTTGGGGTCGTGTGAAGGGGGTTTGCCAAATGGAAGCTGGGTTCCCCTTTGGAGAAGCCATTGGCCAGGGACTGCAGTGGAAGGTGATGCTCTCTCGTGTGCATTGCCGAAGAACTTCGGTTGCACCTTCCAAGAAGCCTTCGGATAGGAAAGCGGTGTGAAGTGGTTGAAAGCGGTTGCCTGCGAAGAGACGAAGTCACTCCTCGCTCGACTCTGTTCTGCCTCCTTCCCGACACTCCTGCCAGCAAACGCAAGCCCCTGTTCACTCCATGGATTTTCTGGGGTCCATTTGGTTTCTTGAACAGGAAGGCCATAATCATGTTGTCCTTTGGTGAGATTGGCTTTCTTTTGGGTTGTCGGGTTGCTTGAACGGAGTGCTCCTACTTGGAAGGCCATAATCCCTCGCCGAGTCCACGTGCGGAAGACCGGACAGGATCCGGAGAACGGGGCCGCCGTTCAAAACGCAAATCGTATCCGCTGCAAAAAAAAACACACACGCCGTTTTGTGGTTGAGCGCTTAGCGACTATCTACTGAGTTGCTAGAGGTCTTGCCCAGCCATGCTGTTTTCGTTTGGCAAATCAGAGTGACCTCACTCTTCCAGAACGACGGACAGTCTCACATATTCTTGATATGGCATTGCTGTGGATTTGTCGTCTCGCCGCGTTTCGATCCTGGGGCTTTTGCTTGCGGAAGATATGCCGTCGGCGATCTTTCTTTCTCTGATTACGAGCATACATGCTTGTTGCTAGGAATTCTCAAGTCAAAACCAAGCTATGCCTGAGAACGTCGAGTCGCTCTTTCGTGCACAGATGATGCCCAGGAAACCCTGAGAGGGACCCGGATCACATGGGGCGTGCTCCCAACGAGTTCTTTGGATTTGAATGGGTTGCACCCCGTCAACACCAGCCAGAATTTGAACCGGGTTCAGTCGGCCACGCGGGTCACCGTTCCGTGGGGTGAACCGGGGTTTGCCATGGGGGGACAACCCGCCCTCTTGTGAGTCCCATGTACGGCATTGTAAAGACCTTACAAGCATGGTGTGTGTGTGTGTTTTTTGAGGGACCCTTTTTGGGGTGGTTTTAAATCGGCCTACCATTTTGGGACCCAAATCCCTACCTACACATGCCCATATGACTTTGTTTTTCTGGCCCACACAGTTTCAGGTGTCCCATCGGTGGGTTGGTGGGTTGGATTTGGATTTGAACCCCTTCTTGTATAGGGTAAATGGCTTAAAGCACCAAAAAATTACCCCGATTTGGCCAAACTGGAAAGCCGAGTTCCCGAGTTTCACCGAAGCGAAGCCTCGCTTTAGCCGTAGGAGCTGCTGCCATTCAAGTACCTCTGCTGGTTCTGCTTCCGCACCCAACTCCCTCGAGACCTCATCTTTCTGGATGACGCAGTCGAGGCCGATGGGCCATGGCCTGGAGGGGAGTGATGCTATTTCAGATGTCAATGAATTGAATGAATTAAAAAGAAACATGGCAATTTAGAGTATGAACGAATTAAAGCCAAGTAAAGAGTTGCTAATAATGACAGAAAAGAGGGAGCAATGAAGACACATGTGCGAGGTAATGATGTTAAAGATTGCTAAGAAATTGATAGAAAAGGACACTATGTTTGGAGGTTTCGGGCCCTAGCAAAAGGCTAACAGGGGTCATTTTGGAGGTTTCGGGTTCCTCGAAGTGCCAAAGTGTGTTCCTTTTACGTGCAGGGTCGAAAAAGGGCTAACAAGGATCATTTTGAAGCTTTCGGGCCCTAGTGTCGAAATGCCTTCCCTTAGCTTCTGCTAGCAAGGCCGAAAACAGAAGTGTCAAAATGTCTTCCCTTTACGCTTTTGCTAGCAGGGACGCTTTTGCTACAAGGGTCGAAAACCGAAATTGAGACACCGCTGGTCTGTGGAGACAGCACGGGGCCGGGCCCCACAAGATTGCTCATGAAAAGTTGTCGGTTGCCGCACCCAGTTTGCCATGTCCTGCAAAGAGAATTATCCATGGCTCCTTTCAGATGATTCAGTTTTCCATACCTGAAGCCTTTGCCAAGTTAGTACTTACCAACACACACCCACACACCTATGAGAAGTATTGCAAAATGAGCTGTCAAGATGATCTAATCATGGAGTTGGGGCTTTGAGCATGGAAGATCCCTTGCGTCCTGCTTATACTTACCTAAGAGTATGGGACACGTTCAACAAGATCTGTCAAACCCTCTTCTATTGCTTGGATTGCAAACCGAATTTACGCACATTGGTTGCCGAAACCTTTCAGGCTGTTACCCAAATCTTGCCATTTGCAGCTGGCAACTTGGGCTTTGGCCAGGCCACGACGGAGTTACCGTCGCAGCTACAAGCGCCGCCGCTTGTGCGCAAAGAGCGCAAGGCAAAGCGGCGAGTGGCCAAAAGCGAAAACAAGTTGATGGGGTTTTGCATGCCGAAGAATGCGGGTGTGTTGTTTGTTTCTGGGGAGATGCGTTTTGGTGAGCCAAAACCAAAATCTGACTGACATTGAGTGGACAGGCTCGTCTCCAGGAACCCACCTCGGATCTCAGCGACTTTGGCTCAAGCCGACAAAAGGCAACCCCAAACTTAGTAACTTCACCGTCCAAGGCGGGAGTTCGTTGGAATCCGACTTGCGACTGAGACAGGTTTTGCAGGAGGATGAAACGGCAAGAGGTGTCCACTGATCAGAAGATGTTCTTTTCGCCTTTTTTACGCTCTGGCTCGAAAAGTGAATCCCACTAAGCTGGCGAAGGAGGGCTCTACGTTATGTCTCTTTGCAATTGGGACTTCGGCTTTGCGGAACAAGGTCTGGGCCCGACAGCTCTCAGCTCGTACTAAACAAGATGCCCAGCCTTCGCTTTGGGGTTCCAAAGTTCCGGCTATTCTGCAGAGAGCACCGTGCAAGTTTTGAGTCACCTAAAAAAAACTCCTGTGTTGATTCTTAAAGTATGTAATTCTTTGCGGGTCAAGTTACGAGCGCGGTGGACACTTGCTTCTGCAAAACCCAGATTCAATAAATCAAAGGCACCTTGATGTTGCGTGTCTTCGCCAAGCGGGCGATTTGAGTGGTCAGCGGAGTTCCAGGACATGGCAAAGGCTGATCTGGCAAAGCAGGCAATGTCCGTGGGCCTGTGAGCTGGATGAAATCGATAATAGGGACACCTTTCTCGGGAAAACATGCAGCTTTTAATGTCCAGTTGTTGGTTCTGCGCTCATTCGGTGCATGCCGTCAGCCGGGTGGCTGAGGATATTTTCACGCACCGGCCTCGCGTGCCAGCAACAGTCCCTTAGGAAAAACCGAGCCATGCGCGATGGTGGGTGGATGGATGGCTGGATCGTGGGTGGATGGATGGATGGATAGATGGCTTGATGGCTGGATGCATGGCTGGTGGATGGAGGGACGGCTGGATGGATGGATGGATGGATGGATGGATGGATGGATGAGAGACCGCGAAGAAATAATGCTGAACCGTAACAACGCATTTGTCCGTGCAACTCTGCAACAGTAGTGGACATGGTTGTGGCGGTGATCTTGTGCGTCTCATAGTCGACCAGTGAGCCTCTCGAGTTCAATGAGCCCTGGCGAAGATCTCTTTGTTCTGCAAGAAAGATAACATGCGCACGTTGGGATGACTTATCCTCGTTGTTGCGATAGGACGCATCTGGATAGCCAACTATGCGTGTCTTGCCACGAAGGGGCCAGAATCTCATGCTAAGCGGGATGCTTTTGATGGTTCTGACTGTCTTATTAATGGCGCGAACGTCCTCAATGGTCGGTGATGATGCCTTGGATGCACAGCTGGAGAATTGATAACCAATGTGGAACTGCGTTCGCGACTGTAACCAGTTGATCTGACCTAGGACACTTCTGTATGCAGTATGCATTTGTGGAGTAAGAGGAGTGTCGTCTTTCAGGTGTTTGTCGATGGCAACATTCTGATGGACATTGATGCACCAACCGTGCTTGTCATCTTGCTTCCATTGGATGCGCTGTCCTACGAAGAGGCAATCATTTTTGTCCTCGGAACCAACCTGAAAATCTTTCCGAAGTCGTCCCATGATTTCCTTCTCGAACACGTCATCCCCCGTCATAAGAAGATCATCTACATGAAGAGACAGGGCTCCATGAACATGTCGATTCTTGGCATTGTTACCAGAAACAGGATCCATGAGGTAATCAACTGCTCCTTCGAGATCAACGCGGGCTTCGGAAGCTGCTTGCCATAGTACACGTATGTACAACGGTCTGCCCGGGTTGGCGCCAGTCCGTAGGAACGAAGTGCCGAATCAAGGATGTTCCACCATCTGCGGGGTGCGTCATTCAGCCCGTAGGCAGGCTTCTTCATGCGCGCTCCAATGTGTGGTGGATATCCCATTTCAGGAGGTATCTGACAAATGATGTCACGAGACTGATCGTATGCTTCGCCTTGGAGAAATGCTGTCTTCAAATCCATGTGAAATATATTCCAGCCTCTATTTGAGGCTGCTTGGATTGCTAGGCGGAACCACTCCTGGATGCAGCAGGACTGTCTGTCTGCTGATCAGTCTTCTGCTTGTCTTGGAAGCCTCGGAGGACCCAGCGAGCCTTGGTCTTCAGGAAGTTACCATCCTTGTCTCGCTTCAGGGTTCGAACCCAGCGACCGGTGACCCAGTTCCTGACCTGAATCTTGCGTGTGTCGACTAAGTCGAACACTTCATTGTCAAGCCATGATTTGCACTCAAGCTGCTTGGCTTCTAGGAATTGCTTCTGATAAGCTCTTATTTCCGTGGCTGTAGCTTCCTTCCGCTTCTTGCCAATGAGTGCGGATGTGGATGAAGCCTTCAAGGATTCTTGCTTGGATGAATACAGAACTAAGAGTGCACGGTCATCGTCGGTCATGTTCTTGCATAACTGGTCAACATGATTCTGATCTGATCTGTGTATTTCTGATGAGAGAATCCGCATCGGGGCGATGGGCTGAAGGTCCCCTTCACACGTCCAAGAAGGACAGGGTTACCTTCGATATCTCTCGGAACCGCAAAGGACCCGGTGTTCGCACAGATCTTCTGTTCGGCTGTCATGAGTGACCAATGTGCTTCATCTAGAACGAGATCAGCTTGGTGATCATCGTAAGATCTGGTCCTCTGAGAGTCTTCTGAATCTCCATCTTCCTGGTCAGTGTATCTCATGGTTCTTTGTGCCGGATGGGGTTGGAACATGAGGAATCAGCTCTTCCAAATTTGCTGGATTGTTCGGATTATAATTGGATGAAGATGCAGGATCATGTCCGGGAGAATGCCCAGGTGACTCATCATTGTCATTTGGCTTCTTCTTTTTTCTTCTTCTTCCCAGTCTTCTGCTTCTTTGATGGACTGCCGCTTGTTTCTTCTTGCGCAAGTGTTGGCAGTTCAAGATCTTCATCTTCTGCTTCGGGATTTGTAAGAATCGCAGGTGGTGAAGGTACCACGACAGTCGGAAGAATTGGCTGAGATGATTGCGACTGTGACGGCAAAGAGACATCACCCCCCAGTCGATTGAGTCCACTTGAGGATGAAATGGACGGTTTTTGCCGTTTAAGCGCTGCATCTCCCCCGCCAGACTGTGGCGGTAGTGGAGGATCCACTGGACTGTCTGGTGACACACTGCGTGGTGCTGGCGGCATGGGATGATCAGGCTGATGTGGAGGATCCGGAGGAGGATCTGACATGTTCTCGTCCGGAGGCGTCGGAGGTCTTGGACCAGGCATGGGATGGTCCGGTTGATCAGGTGGCTGCTGCGTGTCAGGTTGTTGAGGTGCATCCGTTGGATCCAATGGATCCGTCTCGATGGGCATCGGCCTGATGGCTGGCGCATCGGTGAACGACTGATGAACGGATGAAAACATGACAGCGTGCCAAGTCTTCGGATCATACTTCTCCCAATTGCATTTTGATGCAGGCAAGACCCAAATTCTATTCAGCTGATCAGGCTGCCAGAAGGATGATTGCATCGTCCGGAGGTGACGTAATAGGCATATTGATGCCAATTGTGTGGACGTATGCGGTGCATGCATCATACTGAGTGGATGAGATGCACAATGGTCTCAACTTCTTTCAGCCATTCCACATGTTCTGACATGGCCAGTCATTAGGATCTTGCTTGAAGATATCGATTTCAGTCTGAGGTGGTTGAACATCCTTGTTGAACGGCAGGTCTTGGATTCTGACTGCAAGACTGCTGCTGGTCATGTTGAACTCCTTGTCAATGGCTTCCATCTCCCTTCTCAGGATATCAACCTGCTTGATGGTGAATGGTTCAAAAAGGTCCTCCAAGAGGTACACCTCATTGTCAAGCAGTTTCACCTGCAAGTGTTGTGCGCGAGATCCTGACAGAACTCGTAAGGATACACCTGTGCCAGTTTGGTCCTGCTTCCGAAGGTACCAGCGTTTCCCTCTAGGGGTTGGTGTTCATGCTTGATTGAGCTGGAAAAAATCTTACACCTTTAAGTCCGTATGCACAGAAATGAAAATCTCCCCAGGTCACGGATGGATCTGAAAACAATTGTTGCATGCATTTCAGATACCATATCCTGGATGTCTGAGGATTTTCGATGATGAAGTATCTTCTGTGCTTCAACTGATATCGCGCAATGGATGCCACAAATTCAACAGCGTCTCCGCTTTTCCCCAACCTTTTGTTGGTCTTGTTGGATGTTCTGCATATTTGACATGGTCCACAGACCGGTGCCATAAGGATGACATCAGGTGCTTGTTCCCTGATGATCTCCATGACCTGTGTCGTCCCTTGGATGTCATTACATCAAATCCTGTGCCGATGTCTACGGGAGTCCCAACCTTAAGACCTGATAGTGCACAGCATTGACTGAATCTGGCACTTCCTGCAAAGATCTCGAGAACGTGGATCTTTCCTTTACGTACACAATTCCAGTGTGCTTGTTCAGGAATGGATGTGAGGTCCTCGACGAACATGTTCTCTGCTGGATGAGGTACTGCAGGTTTTGGAGTTGTTTTTTCCCGCGATATGTAATGGCACTGAGGATCTTGGTGTAGGAGCTGGTGCGGATGATTCCTTTTTCTTGGTATCTGCAGAGGAGCCTGGTTGCTCCTTCTGCAAGGATTCTCGCTCTTCTGGTAATAGAAGATCAATTCCGGGTTTGCCCGGAGGGATGGTTTCATCCTTCCTGAGCTTCGTCATGTTAACCTTGATGAGTCGAGTCCCTACCATCGCTCCTTCAATGGAAATGACCTTTCCTTTTAGCCATATTCCTCCCTTGCTTCCATCGGAACGAATCTTGGATTTGTCTTCCTGCCAGTAGAATACCTTGTCCTTCACCTGAAGAGGCTTTGAACTCATTCGGAGATTTTGAGCAAGGTCTCGTCGGATGTCTTCGGATTGACGTGCTTCTTGGAAAGCTTGCTTTGACAGCTGCTTGATCTGGATGGCTGTCAGCTCTTCTTCATTCCTGTCAATCGTCAACTGAGTTGGTGTTGCGACATCGAGTTGGATGAGATCTGCTGGTCGTCTTCCGAATGCGAGCTCCAATGGTGTTACACCCCCGTAGGTGACGGTCTGATTCCTGACAGTTGCAGCGGCCTTCACGTGTCACTTTCTTCAGTGTTGCAGGTGCTGTACCTGCTTTGATGGAACTCAGCATGATCTTGAGTTGTGCCTTCAGGAGTCGAACTGCTGCTTCAGCTCGATTTGGCCATGGTGTATTCGGTCCCAAGGGTATCGGTGTGATGTCAAGGGACTGATAGAAATGTTCCCATGTATCTGTCATGAAGGCTTGATCTGCGACAACTGATTTGGGCTGCAAGTGGTACTGGTCAAAATAGTTCCTGAGGACAGTGATGTTCTCGGCTTCTTGCGTAGTTGTCACTGCCTCTGCAGTGAGCAATGTCGTTGCTCCATCCAGGATGACAAAAACAATGATGTGTTCTCCTGTTCCAAGAGGAACTTGACTGATCATTGAATGTCATGTCACCAAAGGTGTCCGCTCGAAGTCCACTTGTTTTGCTTCGTGATGGTGCATGTTTTGCCAATCGGATCTTGTCAAACAGATCGAATGTTGATTTCGGCAAATGAAGTGCTCGGGTTCTAAATCGAAATTGATCTGTTGTCATGTGATGATGCTGCAGGTGGAGTTTCTTCAACTCTTCGGGATTTGACAATCGCTTGTGTATTCTGCCTAGGGCAAGCGGAAGCGATGTTGGTTCTTCTGAGGATGGTGCGAAAGGATCTGGCTCAATAGTCGACCGGCCCCTCTTGTCGATGATCCTGTCTGCTGCAGATCCTGAACCTGCTTCTTCGTCCTTAAGCGAATTGTCCGCGAAGGTGAAAATGGTCTTACCTGTCCACAGGTTAATCATCGGTTTATTTGCCTGGGATGTAAGTCTCCAATTGTCTTCTAAAATGTCTGGATCTCCACCTGCGGATGCATCAATGATTTCCGTAGTACGTTCTCGGCTAATGTGATCAGGATTGATTGGACATTCCTGGCTCCATTTGGTGTGAACAGCGCCTTTCGGGGCGGATGAGCTGCTTGTTCTTCTTGTCAAGGATCCAATGGTCCTGCTTTTGAGACCCAATGATCTTAGGAGTTGCTAGGTCCTCCTTTGTCTCGGGTGATTTTGCTGCACAAACAGTTCCGCTCTTGGTGAGATCATAGACATAGTTGATGAGGCCCTTGTGAGCAATTTCTCCATGAGCCTTCACTCTTGCGACTCCAGCGAGATCGACGAGTGCATGTCCTGTGCCGGATAAACTGCTTGACGATTCATGCCAAAGGCCTTGCGTGTGATCTTGTCACATTGAGGTGCTCGATGGTCATGTAGAGGTTCCGCATCTGGATGATGCTGAGAAGGATTGGTGCAGTTCCTTGTTCAAGGACGTCGATGTTTGTACTGCATGGAGGAGTTGTGTGATATCGAAGATGCAGGGTCCAATTTACCCTGGCGGTCTCCCCGTTTGCAAAAGTGAACTTGGTCTCGGCCGGGATGTGCTCATAGGAGATGATGTCTGGATTGCATGCCAGCTGCCCATAGATCTGGTACATCCATTGTCCAGAATCGCATAGGTCGGGTTGTGCTGAGGGTTGATGACAGGCGCCATCAGCTTTGTTGCCAGAAGGCGGTGGTTTGTTGTGACGGACAGATTGTGTTCTGAAACTGTATCTGATTGGATCAGCTTCTCGTGGATGGCCTTTTTCCCAGGATGCGCTTGTCCTGTGTTGGATGTCTCATGGGATGAGTACCAGCCATGTTCGTTCCATGTCCATGATTTTTTAGTGTTGGTCTGTCCAACCGGCATAGGTAGGCTCTATGGATGGTGCAGTCTGCTGGATGGCGGGCTGCTCCTCCGTCTTCTCTGCGGTGGCTGCGAACGTCTTGGATTTTCCTTTGTCCTGTCCGCTCTTTCCTTTTCCACTCTCATAGGATGGATAACCTTTGTTTCCATCATAGGGATATTGGAATTTTGATTTTCTTTTCTTTCCCTTCTTTCCTTTGCCTTTTCCCCAATATGCCTGGTCGTAGGGATCATAGTTTTCGTTGGCCATATTGGCCTTTCCGCCAGAACCGCTTTTTCTGAAGGGTTTAAAGCCACCTCGTTGGTGACTGCCCTTTTTGTTTCCTGATTTTCCTTTTCCTTTTCTTTTCTTGAACTTGAAGTTCCGCCCCGACACTTTTCTTGCTATGAACGCATCGTTCTCCTCGAGGACCCAGAACGTCTCCTCATCGTTGTTTGACATGAATCCTTCAAGTCCTTCTTCATCCGCAACCCAGAAGCCTTCTTCTCCTTCGTATTCACCTTGTTCGATGATGAAGAATGTGTTGCTTCGGTTGCCTCCTTGAGGTCGGATGGATGGATCTTGGATTGATGATTGATGTCCTCGTCGTGATGAAGAGTTCATGGTAGTGCGTCTTCAGCATCTCATAGGAGTAGTTTTCTAGTGAGATGTTTCGCAGTGACATTGCACTTGTCAGTCTCTCTCGTTGCTGATCTGACAGCTCACTTTGAATAATGAAAAACTGTGCAATGAGATTACCCCCGAAGGGAAATGCGTCCCGCTGTCTGTCCTGCATTCCTTGGATATACTGTCTGAGGGCTGTCGGATCGTCCTCATTGAGCAGGGCTGGAGGCGGTGCTCGAACACCGGCTGCTTGCTGATGTCGAGCAATTGTTCTTGCATTCGCGTCCTGTACGGACTGTCGAAATGATGGGGACTGTGCCGTGAAAACGGGCATCAAGTCCATCCATGCTGCCTTCAATCTCATAAGAAGGATTTCGAATTTTGAGGTAAAAATGAGGAACTCTAGGTTCTGCCTTCGATGATTGAAGAAACTGAGGAGCCTGTACAGATACACGTTGGTCGCACCTTTCAAAAAGTACTTCTTCAGCGTGTTCTTGAAATAGTTGACTCCTTCATCAGGATCTTGCAAAAGGTCGTTTTGGAGGACTGCCTTGTACATATATGCATCTCCGGTCAATCTGCTTTTGAGCAGAGGTCCTCTCTTGGGTGCTTCCACCGTTGTGATGGTCACCCAGTCGTCCACGAGTTCTTCATACCTGAACCAGCTGACTTTTCCATCGTACGATGGCGGCTGCTTGGCGGTCATCGATAAATTCAGTGTTTCCTCCGTATAGCCTGGATTTTTGGCCATACTTGAATAGGCTTCCATGAAGCTTTCTCCATCGGATGACATCTTCCCTTGGATCTCTGCGGAAAACGTGCTCCGCTACCGCAAATTCAGGCCCACTGCCCCAGGTGCCTATCCCAGAAGGGAACTGGTACCCTGTGGTAGTTGAGGTCAATGTTGGTCCCTGGATCTATTCCGGAGACAATCCACTATGCCACTGTGGATGATTGGAGGATGGATTGTCCCCGGAGACAATCCACTATGCCACTGTGGATGATTGGAGGATGGATTGTCCCTGGTGGATTGTCTTGTGGATAATCCTGTAAGCGGCCTGCAATGGTTCTTTTGCTTCACGCGATCATGAATGATGCAATGATCTACAAAAGGGGCCTTGGGCCAAATGTTGCGGGAGATCAATTGGTCTGAGAACCAAACACAGGGGGAGGGGGGGATCCACAAACCAGAAATCCAGCCGGCGTATTTTCCCGCTTCAAGGGACTTCCCGCAACACAGAACACACCGCCCCCATGCCAAAAGCATGGTCCATTCTGGACCAGGCATGGGGTCGGCGGATTTCAAAGCTCGTCGAGCCAAGTGATCAGTGGCTAAGCGCTCTGAGAGATCCACGTAATCGACAGAATTTGTTTGGTCTCCGCATTTCTTCCGAGCAGCAAAGCGCGAACAGGCAAGCCATCGCGGGGCTGAAGCAGTTGATCTGTTTCTATCCAACTTGAATTGCATGTATTTCTTTTTGCAGCTGCACCTGGCGGAAATAATGCAGTGGCATTTGTTTGCAGGTTGTTGGAATTCAAAAGATGAATCTTTGGTCGCGGCTGCAGGCTTGTTCTTTGAAGTTGCAACTTGTGGAATCAATCTTATACTTATTTACGAGATGCTGATCAGCTATCACGGTTGGTCGATGCCCGCCTGTTGGCTTGCTGTTACTTTACTGGAAGCTGTCGCGAGCCACCTCAGCCCGGAGTTTTGGAGGATGCACATTGCCCTGGGTGAGAAGCAGATCAATCTACTGACATGCTTGCAGGTGCATTTTGAGTTCTGAGATATGCTATTGGGAGGGCAATTGCCATGTTGGATTGAGCACAATGGGCGCATCTATAGATGTATATCTATTTATTTATGTGTCTACATATCTACACACATGCCATCTGCACATACGAAGGCATGCGCGTCAAAAAGACCGTGTGTGGAGAAATATCACCACATTATGATACACACACCTATAACCATTGTGGCACAAAACACACATAAAAGTATTTACATATATGTACATATATATATATATAAATTATATATATACATACATAATGTATATGATACACACAGACGCCTCTTTCCGTGTTACAAAGCCTAGGGACACCTCGCGGTTCCGGTTCGACTTCAGGCCTTTCTTCAGCTCCTTGAGGCAGAGACGCGTCTGGAGGCGGCGCAGGCCGGATCGAGGGGGGGGAGGAGGAGGGGGTGTTTTGGGGTAGAATGGGAGGGCCTTTGGTGATCTGGCAAAAACATGGTGTCCGTCTTGGAAAGGGAGGCTTGAGTGAAACGGATACTTTTTGTCTCTGCCCCTGCGAAGTTTAGGATTGGCTGGATTCGTAGCTGAGAGAAGATCTGGTTTCTCTTTTTGCATATTGACTTACCACACGATGAACTTACATTTTTCCAATGTAGAATCCAGCCCAAACATGGACAAACCAGAAGGCACTGGGGACGATCCGGCTTTGGGGCTTGATTTTTTGTTTTCAGAAGATGATTGCTTTGAATTGTTTTCAGAAATTGCCAGGGGCTGAAACGTGGGGGATTTTTTACAGAACTTGTCAATGAATGCCTCACAGCGTTGTGAACGAGGGAGAGAGAGCCGTTAAAATACGTTGGTACTTTACTGCAAGTGCAAGTGTTGTTTCTGTTGTCACAAACACAAATGTAGTTAGCCAGCATGCACTCTTTTCCTTGTAGACTCAAGGCCTGCAGTCGGGTAGTGTACATCATGCATGCACAAGTGACAAGTAGTGCAACATGATATTTGACACGGCCCCTTGGTTAAAAAACCTTGTAGTGTCCTTTAACCATAGACCCAAATGGGTGTTGACAGTAGTTGCAAAAACGAATGCACATGTTGTTTGCCGATGCTACTGTAGCGAACAGGCATGTAGTCTCTTAAAAAAAAGATGACCGAAGGTAGGTATCCACAGCGCTGCTGTCTGTAGTTCAACTAACCTTCAAATGATCAAAAAGTGAAATTGCTGTACAAGAACTCTAAATGGCTCTCAGTCATCTCGTAGTACGATGACGTAGTACAGCACGTAGTTGCAGCTCCACCTAGAAATCAGGTGTGCTTAGTCCAGTGTTGGACTCGGTAGTTCTGGACTTGGCTGATGCGGTAGTCCAAGCCTGCATAGTGGTTGGTAGTGAATGTGTTGAGGAAGTCTGGACCGCCACGGAGGCGGTTGTAGTCGCATTCTGGTGCAAGTGCTTGGCCGGTTGTAGTGAGGTAGTTGTGGAGTAGTAGTTTGTGTTGTGTGGAAAGATTTGTAGCCGTGAGGAGGGGGATGCCGTAGTAGGTGACACTTTTGTGTAGCATCGTGTTGATGGACTTGTAGTGGTGGTCTTGAAGTTGTTGTGGTTGGTCGAAGTAGTTGAGTAGTTCTGGTAGGTGCAGGGGCATGTGGTAGTTCCAAATGAAGTTGTTGGACAGGTTGAATGTAGTGGTGATCTGGTCCAAGTTGTAGGTGATTCGGTGTAGTCGTTGATGTAGCTGGCGTGTAGGTAGGTGGTGCTCGTCTTTGATTGAGATCATGTGGCTCACGTAGTCGCGGCAGAAGTTGATGAGTTGTCCAGCACTGACAAATCGTAGTAGAACGTCTGGTGGAATGTGTAGTTGGATGATGACCATCAAGTTGGTGTACTGAGTTGTGAGGTGTAGTGATGTTAGGTTGTAGTAGTAGAAGTTGACTGCCTCTGAAAGACGTAGGTGAAGAGGTAGTGAGTCGTAGTGTGGCATCCGTAGGTCTGAAGGTAGGTCGTGAACTGGTAGGTTGTAGTTGAGCTCGGGGATGGGTGTAGTTTGTTGTTGACTTAGTAGTTGGAACTCCTCGAGCGTCAAAGCCACGCAGACCCTGAAGTAGTTCTGCTCCGGGTCGATCGCTGGAGTGTCAGGGATGTTGTTCTCAATTTATTGTAGTGAGGTGTGCCAAGATGTCGTCGGGTCTCTGTAGAAAGGTGCCGGTGTGGGTAGTTGGTGATTGAAGTTGTAGTTGAGGGAGTTGTAGGCCTCAGGTGGTGGTGTGGCCAAAGTAGCCATGCTGCTGGAGTCGGTAGTGCCCTGCCGATCCGCTGGTGTGAAAACACGGTCCGGTGTAGTACTGCCAGCCTGTTGTTCGACGGGCAGAGTAGTCTCTGGCGCTGATGTAGTAACCTCCATCGGCATGACATCCAGCGTAGTCGCATGCATGGGCGTAGTTCCAGCCATTGCTGGTAGTTCGGCCTATCGAGATGCAGTGAAACGGGGCAGACAGTAGTGAGCCAATGTTAGCTCACAAAAGCACATGCGGGCATGTAGTAAAACACAAAAAAAAACATGTAGTGTTGACTCAAGCCGCCAAAAGCCGCCAAAAGTGCAAGTGCAAATTACTGGTGGTTACAATTACTATTCGAAGGAAGTTTAGAAGTTTAACTTCCGACAATATCGACAACTCAAGCAGAGCAGTGCAGAGCGAGAGATAGAGAGAGAGACAGAGAGAGAAGAAGAGAGAGCAGAAGAAGTAGCAGAGAGAAGCGATGAAGAAAGATGAAGCATGGTGTGCGAAATGTTAGAAAGGTCGCGAAATGCTGTATTTTTTCAATGTTTTGAGCCTCCAGACGGCCCAGAAGTTACCTTGGTAAAGCGGCGGGTGCGGAGCCTTTGGTCGGAATTGCTGGCAAAAAATCGCACGCGGCCTGCGCGCGGTGAACATTTGCAAGTCAAAATCGTAAAAACACCACATTCCCGGCACACTTTTGGAAGCTCCAACTGTCAAAAATCGCACGCGGCCTGCGCGCGGCGCACATTTGGAAGTCAAAATCGTAACAACACTACATTCCCGGCACACTTTCGGAAGCTCCAACTTTCAAAAATCGCACGCGGCCTGCGCGCGGTGCACATTTAGAAGTCAAAATCGTAAAAACACTACAGGGTCGGGCTACTTTTGGAAGCTCCAACTTTAAAAAATCGCAAGCGGCCTGCGCGCGGCGCGCGTTTTTAAGATGCAATGTAGCTTGACAGCGGTAAAACGCATTGGAATGGCAACGCGCAAGGCTCTCATCTAACTTGGAAAAAATGCGTGGCGCCTGCGCGCGGTGCGCGTTTTTAAGATGCAATGTAGCTTGACAGTGGTAAAACGCATTGGAATGGCAACGCGCAAGACTTTCATCCAATTTGGAAAAATGCGTGGCGCTTGCGCGCGGTGCGCGTTTCTAAGATGGAATGCAGCTTGGCAGTGGTAAAACGCATTGGAATGGCAACGCGCAAGGCATCCTAAGCTGCCCTGTTGAGTTAGTCGCGCTCTAGATAGATAGACAGACAGACAGACAGATAGATAGATAGATAGATAGATAGATAGAAAGCTGGAAAGATAGAGAGAGGCAGATAGATAGGTAGATAGACAGATAGATAGATAGATAGGGAGGTAATGCGCTGTGACCGTGTGGCGTTTCGGCTGTGTCTTGTCAGTTGCTCCGCGTATGTCATGTTTGTTCAATGTCCCGGTTTTCGTTACCAGCATCACTAGCATCACCACCACCACTGTTCATGTTTGTTCATGTCCCGGCTTTAATCGCGGAGCGGCAACTCACATCACCACCACCACTACCACCAGTACACTTTCACCAGCACTCCCACCAGCGCCACACACAGGCCGAGAACATGTTGATGTTCTAGTTTGTTGTTTGTCACCAGCCGACCTACCAGCATCACGCTCAGCGGACAACCTCTTGATATGTTTTTTAGTTTGTGCAGAGTGGCACTTTTGGCACAAGCAAAGAGGCTTAAGACTTGTCGAACATTTGAGGTCAGGCAGGCTCCCTATCAGCCTGGGCACTGCCAAGGTTTTCTTTCCAGTTTTTGTCCGAGCGGTGGAATAATTTCCTGTGAAGACATGACCAGTTGATTTCTTTTGTGACCGTTGGCCATGTTCGTCACAAACAAAACATGATTGGTTTTCAATTTGGCCCCAAACATGTTTGCCCTGGTTGTTCAAGCCTCCTACAGTGGTTCTTTTTTGGAAACTTCCGCCACCGCCTTGCGCGGTACTACTTGTACTTGTAGTCACTGTTACTGTTACTGTTACTTAAATGCAGGTAGTTACATATGGCCATATACAAACTGTTGTGGTTGATGTGCAACAGTTGTGAAACAGTTGTTGTTCGTAGCGCTAAACACGTATGCCAATGCTCTGTATGAGCCTCTGTAGTGTTTCTTTGCTAATGTATTTTGTGAACAAGTCTGAGCTGTTGTGTAGTGTGTTGATTTTGAGGATTCTGATGATGTCGTGCTTGATGAGGTCTTGTGTGTAGAGAAATTTCAGGTCGATGTGTTTTGCTGGTTTGCTAGTGCCTTGTCGTGTCGCAATGCTCTTGCCTGCTGCGGAGTCTGTGTGGATGCGTAGATTTAGCTTGCTGCAAATGTTGGTTTCAAGTAGGAAGTTTCTGAGGTGTAGTCCCTCATTAACTCCTGTGCAAATGGCGTAGAGTTCAGACTCTGCTGAGCTGAGTGCTATTGTAGCTTGTGTTCTGCTGCCAAATGCAACTGTTGTTCCTAAAAAGATGATGTTGAAACCTGAAGTTGATTTCCTGGTAGTAGGGCATCCTGCCCAGTCGGCATCGACATGAACGTCGAGATCCAGGATGTTGTTGGTGTTTGCTCTGAGTGTTGTTGTTGGTTCTATGGTGAATTTGTAGTGCTTGGTGCCGTGCAAGTAGCGTAGTAGATGTTTGACTCTCTTTTGTGAAAGTTGTGTAGGTGCTGTGAGGTCTCGTGCTAGTTCTTTTGTGGAGTATGCAATGTCTGGTCGTGTGTATGCTAACCATTGTAGTTTGCCAACAATCCTTCTGTACCTTTTGTGTTGTTCGTGGTCAAGTAGTGCTTGATCTTCTATTGTTGGTTTGTAGTGTGCAATTCCTGGAGTTTTCACTGAGTTGCAGTTGTTCATTCCAGACTCCTCGATCATGTTGTCGATGTAGGAGTCCTTTAGTCCAAGGTTGCAGTAGTTGCCAAAGTGGTCGATGTTTCTTCCAAGAAATTGTTGTGGTTTGCCAGGTTCGAGGTAGCCGATGTGCTTGAGTAGGACCTGCTTCTGGATGGCCTCGAGGTGGAGTCGACAGTAGTCTTGTCAACAAGTGCCAAGAGATCATCCACGTAGACCATGATGTAGCAGTCGCGAGTTGCATTGGTGTAGACGT